TTTTCAGGACCCCACCTTGATGTTTCAGGACCCCACTTTGGGTCCCGACCCCAACTTTGGGAAACACTGGTCTAAACGGATTTTCTGAACCGACTGTTGATCCTCCAAAACTACCCGGACAGGTGACAGACATCATCGACAAAGGTAGTTTGTCAAAGAGAATGTCTCTTTGACAAGTTAAGGCGACCTGAGGTGGCCTAAATTCAGTTCTGAGTGGAACAGAGTTTCTGTCCCTTTAAAGGTCCATCAGAGGTCTGAGGTCCAACAGTTTCCTTGATATTTCACTCGAGGTGACCCCTACAATACAGWATATATATTATTGCTAAATTTGCTGCAGCTCTCTGCAAGGTGGGGTGTCTGAGCATGTACAGTGTGAGTGTCATCACTCTAGCTTGTTTCTGTTTGGAGAAAAATTATGTGTTGCAATCGTCCCTTGTTGCTACCGTCCCCCGTCTCCCACAATAAATGGTGTTTTAAGCAAATGTTTTCAGTGTCAAAAACAACTTTTAGTAGAATAGAGAAATGACAACATATTAAAACTATATGTAAGTAGTTGAAGATCCCTTTAAGATCAGTATGATGCATAAAAAGAACCTTTTGTTATTTTGYAAAAACAAAGTGTGGTCTTTAGTGTGGATGTTTTTAACCAAAGAATCTAAAAATGTTTCTAGGGTGGATTTTTTTCTCAAACATCTCAATAACCTCATAGTTTCTTCCTCGGTTTGTTACTTTGCCTTATTTTAGACAACCACATCATTCCGAAGCATTATAGTTGACCCAAGAATGCAAAAAAAAAAAAAAAAAGTACCATCTGCACAAAAAAAACCATCTACAGTATTTTCCACTGTTTAGTTTTGCCATTCCTTGCTGTGGCGTCCCACCCTTAGGTTTAACTTCCTTCTTTGTTTTGTTCTCCTTTTTTGTGTTTTTATTTATTAAACAGCCTTCTGAGAGAACTTTTTAATTCTCAGCTCAAAATGAAAGTGATGTAACGTCTGAAGGCCTTTAGAGAAACAGACAAATCTGATTTTCCTTTAATGGGTTTTTAATTTTGGCTGATTCTTGATTTGTCTAAATGTTGAAATGTACTTTTGTTTTTTTTAGCACCTTGTTTTCTTCATTTATCCTAAGAAAGCTCGACCTATTGACAGTTCTTTTGTTTTCTCTTCAGCCTCGCTGCCCTTCATCATTCTGAACATAGTGTCCAAGCCGTATATAAGGGGGATTTATTGCGATGACCAGAGCATCATGTACCCCATAAAACCAGACACCATCACCCACGGCATGCTGGCAGCTGTCACCATCTCCTGCACTGTTATCATTGTAAGGATTTCCAAAGCCTCTGCCTAATTGACCTGCAAAAAAAAAAAACCGGAGCGTAAAAATCCAAACATATTTTCTTCTCAGATCTGTTCCGGAGAGGCTTATCTGGTTTACAGGGAGAARCTTTACTCCAACTCCAGCTTCAACCGATATGTAGCTGCTCTCTACAAGGTGGTGGGCACCTATTTGTTTGGAGCCTCGGTCAGCCAGTCGCTGACGGAACTCGCCAAGTACACCATCGGCCGTCCGAGGCCCCACTTCATGGCCGTGTGCGCTCCGAAGGTCTGCGTAGGATACATGCAGGAGATCAACTGCACCGGCAGTTTACTGGACGTCAAAGAAGCGAGGTAGGAGAAGAGTAATGGCGATCGTTTGTTTGTGTATGCGTCTTTTCTTTTATTTGTACTTGTCTTTGATTTTCTTTCTTTTTGCAGATTGTCTTTTTACTCTGGTCACTCGTCCTTTGGAATGTACTGCATGATCTTCCTAGCAGTAAGTGTGGCCTTGAGGCTTTAAAAACCATGTAAACATATATCTCTGTGTCTAAGTTTAGTCTACTTTGCATGAGGAATTATAGTCCACAGATGGGTTTATGTGAGAAGATGCTCATGAATTAAAAACTGAATTCAAGCGCTAAACGTTGCGTGGGAGAAATAACCTCTAAAACTGGTTTGGGCCTGTGGACACAAAATACAAGGAAGACAAGGAGGATGTTGGAAAGTGAGATATGATTTTGAAGCTTCTGTGGTCTGTTTTTCACAGCAACTAGACTTTATATAGGAAGAACTAAAATYGTTTTTTATGTCAAAATTACTTCTGTATATATCATAATAAAAAAGAGAGGGAAAAAACTACGCAAAATGCAGTTTTTTCTTATAACTTAATCATACGTGCTCCCATCCAAAGTGAGAATATGAACATTTGCAGTTTCCACTACCTAAAATAAAAGTACTTTTATGACTAAAGTAATATTTTACAGCAAATACCTTCATAATTATAATTGTTTTTACATTTATGTGCATACATTGCACTGAAAATTTCATATTACACTGCCTGTAATAGTTCTATTAATGCAATAATAACAACTATTCTAACATATACTTATTTATATTAACCTTTTTTTTTATTTATTACACATGTTCAATCCAAAAATTAAGATTATTCCACTGTTTAAACCCACATACAGTAATGCACGTACTTTTCGGTTTTGCTTTGACACAGGGTTGTTTTAAATTTTTGTCATGACCCCCTCTTTTCTTATAAAATGCTTTGWATATTAGCAGAAGTTATTTTGTTACTAACTTTAAACATTAGTTCAGCTGTTTTATTAAATCTTGACTAATTAGAAGTGTGATGTTTGGCAGCCACTGTTGGCATTCATTTAGTTTAGCAAAATGTTTGGTTAAAAGCAYACCAAAAAAAAGTGCTGAAGTGTGGGAAGATGTTTCAAAGTGTTTGAGTCTTTTTAAATAGAAGAAATTAGCTCTTGAATTAGCCTTGAGTAGTTGTTGGTGTTAGCTCACATCAGATTTGCTACCTGCTTCTCTAACAGACGGATATCTACTGCAAGTAAGACACTGACTACCTTTATCTACTCCACACAACCCTAATTAACAAAATAAACAGCTTCATTTTAAACTTTTTTTTGTGGAAAGCCAGGTGAGTGTGAGCCCTGAACGTTTCAAGCAGAGCCACATTTTTTTCAGCTCAGAGGACCGACAGAAGCTCCATCAGTTCAGACAAGTTCAGAACCTGCTAATGAACAGAGCTCAGCTGTGATCTGTGGGCTGTTTGTAAAAAAAAAAATGGGGCTGCAGTGTGAAGTGYGGCTGTGAGACACACACGTGTGATGCCAGTTATTGCACCTTTAACAGCAACCGAGAAGAAACTTAGGGACATTTATTTAGTTGCCAGATTCATATGTGTTTTGGCATTTACTGATTCTCTTGCTCAAGGGTTTATTCATCCATAGTGGATATAAATTAATGTTATACTCAACACCTTTTTTAGTCAAATTTTAAATTATTTTTCACATTTTTTTAGCAATACAGGGGGTTATATATCCATTATTATCAGCATGATGGCTATTTTGTTGTCGAATTTTGCTGAACTCTTTTTTTTTCTCCCCCTCATTCTGTCTCCAGCTTTACGTGCAGGCGAGACTTGCGGCGAAGTGGGCCAGACTTCTGCGGCCCACGATCCAGTTCTTCCTGGTGGCCTTCGCCGTGTACGTGGGCTACACCCGAGTCTCTGATTACAAGCACCACTGGAGCGACGTGCTGGTGGGGCTGCTGCAGGGAGCCCTTGTTGCCGTGCTCAACGTGAGTCTCCGAGCACTCTTCCAGAAAAGACCGTTCACGCTTCCACCGAGCGCTTTTCTTTTCACTGTGTACGACTTACCCGACACGCTGACATTTTGACATTTCATCTCCGATCTGACCGCAGCGGGTATAAAGTTTTGGAAAAGCAAACATGGGCGAGTCTGTCTCCGACATGAAATTGAACATTTAAGGGAAATCCCACTGTTAGTGATACTCCTGTCAGAGCAGGGATGGACGGATGATTTATTTTTCATCTTTATGTAATTTAAACAGTCRTTTGGAAGCTGGTAAAGAGTAGCTGCCTGAGCCAAAACATCCAATCTTCTTAACCTCACCTAGATGGGCTTCTTTTATTGTTTGGCCACTTCCCTGTTTTGACTGAACCGCAGTCAGAAGTGCCTTGTGGAAACTTCTCGAGTCTGTGTGTGTGTATGATTAATTGGGACCTAAGGCTTTGGTCTTCAGTGTGCTGTAAGCAGCGAGCCCCWCCGAGGCCCAGTGTTTAATAGCCTGCAGGAGTCGTGCCAGCTCTCTGTGTGTTCCTCTCAGATGTGAGTGAATAAGTGTTCATGTGTCATTTAACATCTGGGCACAAACCTCTCCAGACATATGCAATCACTATTTCCAGCCCCGCCCTTCCTTACATCCTCTGTACTCCTGAAACCTGAAAGGAGGTGGAAAATATCTCCTAACTGACCCAACTTTTTTTCTCTCTCTCTCTCTCTCTCTCTCTCTGCCTCTGCAGGTCCGGTTCGTGTCGGATTTCTTTAAAAAGCGTCCTCCGCGTCGCTGCAGGCCAGGAGGCGCGGCCGACAGCGAGGAGCCGGAGAGGAAGCCGAACTTGCAGATTACAGACGCGGAGCACGGGAACCATTACAACTTTCGCAACCATCCCGGGACTTTGTGAGAGAGGACTCAGACCTTTTACCCCCACCCCCACCCCCACCAAAACCTGTGTGACATGTGAGCAGAAGCTAAGGTTGCGGAGTTCAGCTGTGGTTAGCTCTGGGAGTAACCTCGGGTCAGCTGCAGGTCGTGTTCTGCTGACGGCTTCCTGTTTTCAAATTTACATTTTTTTATGTCTTCATGAGTTCATCAGTCCATTGAATTTCTTCATATAAGGAGCTGGAGATCTGGTTTCCTTTTTGTGTTTTCAACCACTCACACTCTGCCTGCTTCCCTGGACTGACTTGGGTGGATTCCAGATGTTCAGACCACCTCTCAAAGACACAACGATGACCTTCTCATAAGAGAGAAGAGAGAAAAATGGGGTTAAAGTGTACATGCTATTAGGTGAAGGATTCCAAACTCACTGAAATGAAGGTATAATATTTATGTTGTAGCAAACACTCAGCAGATAGAGATCACAGCGTGTGCCTTTAATCACCATCTGCTTAACAGAAGAATGCTGTTTGATTTTACTCATTAAGCTCTTAGTGGGTGGAGCTGTCGCCTCACAGCAACAAGGTCGCAGGTTTGCTCCCTGGTCTATCTGTATGAAATTTACACATTCTTCCTTTGCACATGTGGATTTTCCAGAAACTCCAGTTTCTTCCCACGGACCAAAAACATGCATTTTAAAGGTTAAATGCTGACTCTAAGCTGTGTGAGTGACTGGTTGTTTGTCTCCATGTGTTCCTGTGATGGACTTGCCACCTGTTCATGGTGGCCCCGCCCCCCACTCACACAAWGGCCGCTCGAGACAGCTCCCCGCGACCTGGAAAGGAAAATCGGGTAAAGAAAATGACTGGACTAATTAAGCTTATTGTTCTGATAGATGTACTTGATCTGTTTTTAATGGTTTTAAGTGTTGCTGAGGTTTGGTAGCAGTTAAAACAACCTGAAGGGTCTGAAAATACAGATATCTGAGACGCAACAAGTCGGGATCTTGTTTCACAGGAGTRGCAGTTATTCCACATTTAGTTCATTTGAAGTGAGGTTATTTGGAAAGGATACGAGCAAGCAATATCTTACCTGTTGTACATATATTTTAGAACAGGCTAAGTTTGGAGAAACCGACAAGCTAACAGCTAGACCGAGAGGGGCCGAGACCGCAGTGGATTTTTTTCTGTCATCTTAAATCAACTAATTAGTAAAAGTACATAAAATTTCATATCAAAATTGTTTTACAAAATTTACATTGCTGTGACTTTTGAAACACGTCATTTATGAAGAATTTTGTCATGTACAACAGGTAAGATATTATTTGTTCATAATTCTCCTACATGACTTGCCTTCAAAAGAAGGCAAATATACCTAAAAGCAGTTTTTGTTTAATTTTTTTTGCATATATGCTTATTAAAACTTTTTTATACGTATTTAATTTCTTAAATATTCATAACGACTTCCCACTGTGTGATATTTCCTCTCCTGTGTGGAAAAAAGACTGCATGTACAGGCCTTTGATGTCAAAAGCTTTAAACGTGTTACGTTACGCTGCTACCACTTTAACAACAAATATTTAGAGATTTTACCCTAATTTTTCTGTTTTTAAACAGCATTTTATTATAGAAGTACTCAAAGGACAAGACACTCATTTCTTTTAAAATGGTGTTTGATTAAATTTTTTAAATGAAAATGTTTTTATTTAGTGCCAGCTCTGTCCATGTGTTTCTGTGCAATCACCCTTGCTTTGCCACTATGAGCCACAAATACTGTATCTACAAAGATTTGTGTTTTGTGAAGGATGTATGTGTGTGTG